AATAAACGCCACCACAGGTGCGTGTTGTAATGATGTTAATATCTTGTGTTTTACTCTATTTATAACCCGTGTGGTTAACATATATTTGATTTGAGTGTTTTTATCAATGGTGGATGGTGTGACTAGTGTCGTGTTCCGCGTGGTGAGATTCTCGACGAAGCTTATTTTGTGGTCCATTCATACCCTCGCACCTGTTGATGAAGCTCTGATCACGCAATACCTACCTGTACCCGTAACACCACCTACCTTCCTGTGCGAGACCGTCCGCCCACCTGTATACAAACACCATACCTGAAGCATTGTCAGACACCGTTTTTATTGTGCGATCAACATTTTTGCGCTGTTCACAAATTCGCATCTGTATGGACAGCCTATATTTAGCGTGAATTGATATCACGTGATGGGGTATCAATATCGACATAATGGTTCAGGGGTCAGAAGAAGGACGGTTAGAAGTCCCCTTAAACCGACATAGGAGTTCAACACAGCCATCATTATCAGGGCTCATCTTTCGTATATGGGGTGGCGAACCTTCACTTCAAAGCGACTTCTCAGGTGTTTGGAAATGAACATACTCATCTCCGGCGGTGCGCATGTCTTATTTCGACAAACACTTTTGTTTGGATGGTATCTTCCTTTGTTCAATTGACGTCATGTTAATTTCCCAGAGTATTATCTTTAAGTAATGGCAATCTTAAGAAAACACATGTGGCTGTGCTACCACTATCTGTAATAGGAAAACAGCCCTGATATATGACTCTTCCGCTTCCACGCGATAGCTTTCACGTGCATCCTTTAAAGGTGGAACTTGCCTAGCAAGATTCTGTCTTCAATATAGAGAACTTGTCTTCATGTTGACTGCCTGAGACTGCTTCTGCATTCTAGTCTTGCTTTGAAGACTTTACACGGTTGATTCATCTGTAAGACACTTATATACACTTTTATGCTTCAATGATTAAAAAGAAACAAAAACAAAAAAATAAAAATAAGATATTGATGAAAAATGTGGTGCAATCTTTCTAGATTATGTATAAATAACGTGTTTTACGATACAGTAATCTTGTGTGATTTCATTTGCTAGTTTAATTTTTCGCAAATGTTCCCATGCTTGTCATACTGGCCCCATCCTGCTGGCAATGAACAGTAATGTTAGAAACCCCTTTGTGGCTACTGAAAAATTCCAACCGCCCCTTTTAGCAAACAGAAAGAAACGAAACGGGCCATAATGAACCCTTCAATCACTCTCGACAGTCAGAAGTGGAAACCAATCACTAGCCATCTCCGGTAAATAGAGGCCGGGAAGTTCATCAAAGACAGCCACGAGGAAATGATATAAAACCAACAGATTACCTTTGACAGGTAAAGTCAGCGTTTATACACAGCACCATAGCCCCACACTTGGTCGAGTGTCTTCTGTGACAAGATCATTGCTTCATGGCGATCGATGTTTGATGCAGTAAATGAAAAATTAAAAAGATTCATTATCCGAAACAGTCTACAGCATTATGTAGAAAATAACAGGAATTAAAACATTGGTGGGATGTTATTATTGAAATTCACGCAGCCTTCTTTAAAACAGAGAAATATAAGTTTTCAGTCACCCAGAGTAAGAACAACTTGTATTCAGGAGAGCACATTTTAGCTATACCGCATCTGATTTTGATTCAAGTCTCACTTTAAACACAGGAATACATGTTTATAGTTAGCCAGAGCAGGAACTTGTATTTAGTAGAGTGCTTTTTAGGTAAATCACATTTGATTCTGATTCAGGTGTTTACTTGAAAACACAGAAATACACTTTTTTCTAGTTACCTAGATTAAGGACTTGTATTCAGGAGAGCACTTTTTAGGTAAACCACATTTTATTGTGATTCAGGTTTTATTCAAAAGTGTGGCTTATTTACTAAATATTCAGCTTTATATAGGAATGAATTATCGAATGAAAACGGTAGGAAATATATGTTTTTATGTATACCAAAATGATATCCAATATTTCCACATTTCAATGGCTATCATGTGAAATTTACATTTCTTTTAAACGACGCACCGATAAAATTTCTTTTTTTCGTTTGGATTTTTTATGCATGAGGAAGTTCCAACAACAATTCGTACTTTGAAAAATATATATATATATTTTAAAATTTAATTGGATTCATATGCTTTACAAAAGTGATTATACAAACTTCTGGCGATAAATTATTAAACTATCAAACTTGCGTTTGTAACAAAGCAATTTACAAATATATATAAAAACATTCACTATGTTAGTGGTATGTAAATAAATTTTACAATCTGATAGAAAACTGATATCTAAATAGCACCATAGCACTGAATATATCGGGTATCCCACTGCGGTTAAAGTCAGATAGAATATATTCTAATCATGTATGTGTTTCATTTATACATCACCGGAGATTTCATGATAATATACAATATGACATATAATAGTCATTATCATATGACAAAAGCAAGATGTATTATTTCGCGTTTCATATCATGTTCATTAACACGATATCTAAGCAACTGATAGCAAAATGTTTTAAAATATCATGATAAAATATCGTTTTTTACTTATTGGCCTTCATTAGTGTATTCTAATGCAGACCCACACTAATGTAATGACAAGAGTTTTAAAATATTGTTCTTGATTTTGTTCGTTGATTATCAACATCGAATGTCAATAATTTTGTAAGATAGATTTCGTTGGAGTTGCATGCTATATGGTGACTAATTACATATGTTTCTATGTGAATGTATAGCGGCGTAGCGATACTATTAGTAAAATAAAAAGAGATCCCTCTTTACTTTTCACTTACATATACGTCAAGGTAATAGGTCATAACTACATGTCCTCACTTTCGGTTTATCGCAAAATATCAAAGTAGAAAATCAGAAAATACTCTGTTTACAACGAAAATGGATTATCTAGTGATAACAATAAATATAACATCATGATTTGATATTTAATCTAGACCTGAATACCTGCAGTAGAGTTGAAGACGTGAGGGCGACAAACGTTTTCTTTTAATGTTTATGTAGTGACTAATGTACACAGATTATGAAATTCAATAGTAACGACAAATATCGAACTGCTAATTATGAATTTTCGTGGGGTTTTTTTTCGATTAATTGTTTTGGTATTCTTAATCAAAGACTTCTTGTGTCCACGAAATGCTAGAATTAGGATAAAACGATTTTTCCAAACACGAAAATTGTTCACACAAAAATACATGACTTTAAAGTATTCCATTTTTTCACTGGAAGAATGAAAACAAGAAAAGCGAATATAATAAGTTCGCCATTAAGCATTTGTAATTTAAACATGGACTGAGAGACTGTCTAATTATCATTAACAAAAATAGGTGATTCTTTTAATTGGATACCTGTTCAGTTCCTTCGAGGAAAATTGAAATATCTGAAGAATTTATATAGGTATCCAATAATAATTTTTCGTAACTACTTTGGATATCAATGGTCCTATTCTCCTTGTACCTTTTCAGGGGTCTCCAAGTGAACCTTCCTTGAGTTTGGATTATGATTATGTTGATATGTTGGTATTTTCGTGTCGTATAATGAACCTATTTTTTACATATAATTATGCTAATGCATATCATTAACATGGCTATTTTCTTTGGGCTCAGATTTCGTGGTTTCAAAATATGTCTGTCCTTTGCGTATCATGCCAAATGTTGAACATACTTTCATTCATGAACATATGAATTCGTAAATCAAGAGTGCTCAGGCAATCAACCAACATTTACTCTCAACAAGTTTTATTATTTTTAAGATGCAGTAAATCACTATCATAGCAAATATAGTTAATGTATCATTCATTGTTTCAGTTCTAGTCTTAGACAGATACTTAACAAATAGATGTCATCAGGAATTTTCATTTTTAGTATTAATTAAACAAAAACAAAAAACAAAAAATGATAATTACTCATATTGTGTGTTTCTGTTCTATGCGTATTATCCCTTAATATTGTGACCGACTTCGGCGAGCAAGGGGTTACAATCAGTCTGAAAAAATCGACGTATACTTTTCCTTACAAGGTGTTCCGTCCTCCCTTCTATGTATCTACGTCTGCCTTTTTCAAAACTCCCCTTTTCAGGTAGTTGTCTCTCGAATAAACATCATAGTGCTGTAATAAAAACCGTTCAATCAAGTAATACAATTTATATATAAACATCATGGAATGTTACAAATCTAGTTGATGAGTACGGGTGACATGTTTACAGTCTCTTTTGTAGACACTTGTTTTCTATATTGAAGTACAAGGAGATGAATGATTAAAATATACCAATGGTGTTAGTGTTTTCTTGTAATCAACAAATGTTAACGTGTATAAGGAACGTGTTTTTGAATCATCGAACGATGATGATGATGGTGGAGAAGAAGAAGAAGAAGAAGAAGAAGAAGAAGAAGAAGAAGATGATGATGATGATGATGATGATGCATAGAGTCTATTGCTTTTCTTCAGTGTCAAAACAGCCAAAAGCTCATTAAACATACAAATATTAATGATAATTACTAAAGAAGGTGTTGTCCTTGTGTTTTCGTTATTTCCTTTCTTTAATTATTCTTCAGATAGCAACTCAACCCTACATGCTGTTTTGGTACCCCACATAATCGCGGTCACCCAAACTCTTTTGTTCTACATCATTAATATGCTTTGTGGTAAAAGTCTGCATGACAATCAGTGATGATTGTCAGTCCAGCATTTATACGCTCGGTAACTGCGGTTAAGAGCGGCCGGTCTGAATGACGAGAAAGATCATGTGACTCAGACTTGATTCCTATTGGTCGACAGACTCCGGATAGAGTTACCCTCGTTCTTTATACGCTCAGTGGCTTATTTTATAGAAGGGTAATAGAAATTTATCACATTTAATGTTTTGAAATCAGAGTTAGATACATTAGAAGGACAATTTGATTCCGTGCCGTGACAAGGTTTTTGGAGCGGTGATTGAGTACTGTGTTAACCGTACTGAGTTCAACCATGGACACCGGCTCCATTCTGCTGTGTTCCCAACCTTTCCGGTAAGTCTTGAATACTTCATTTTTGTTCATATATATATTCACTAATCAATTAATTACTACCTTTTGTTTTGCTTATTCACCCAAGTAATAAGAATCCGAAAAAAAATCTGTCATTAATCCTATTTAGTTGTTTAACATTTCTGCAACCATCCCAAACTGCAAACATAAAATAATTCCCCATTCAATGACTGTTAAAATCATCAATCATTATTTTGATACACAATTCTATTCATTGTTTTCGTCTTAAGTCTGCATTAGTAGTAACCTATGCACATTTCTTTAGGATCTTGACCTTAAAAGAAAATATACCCTGCAATATCTTTATGATTTTCCTTGTTATAAAAATAATCCTTTACAAAATTTCTATTATTTGAATATTTTTGCATAAAAATTTTGAAGTGTAAAGAATCAAGGCATTTTGCTTTTTTCATTTAATTATATCACTGTGTAGATTTTTCAAGTTCCTGATCATTTTCTTTCAAATGTGTCTTGCAATGATGTTTCTGATGTAAAATAGGTTGGATCATATTTGAGGATGTCTCTAAAACATATGTACCTAGTATAACTGCTGAACACTCTTTGTCATGATAATCATAGGAAGGGCTCTAAACTTAATTTGTTGATATATCATCCGAATAATTACTCTGCAACGTCCTTTTAAATAGTCTTAATAAAACCAATTTTATGTTTGTATATTGCCAAGAATGCATTTAATAATGATTAACTGATCTGATTTTACTATAACACTTCGATTGTCTAAATATTATTCAGGTTAAATAAATAAGAGAATATCTTATTCATTTAGAAATATAATTTTTATGTTATCTAAATCTCTTTGTTTAGAAAACAAAACAATTTTGTATAGTAAAATAGCATTTTGTTTTTAATTATTCTTATGCTGTAAAATTTAATCGGGATAGCTCTCGATGTAATGCAACGTATAACGTATATACATTGGTTATAAATCTTCAAAGCAGACCTTGAAGAATGTTGTATATATAAAACTAAATTCTTTATAAAAAAAGTTTTTAAAAATGCAGAAATGTTTCGAAAATTGAAAACTGCAAAGCAAAAGGTTTGTAATGTTATACTCTGATCTTAAAATGAAAAACACAAAATAGGATACATTTTGATATTTACAGCCAGCTTCCTTAAGCATTATGTCCCTTAAGTCACGCCGTATAACATAAGAAACATCAGTCAGGCACGTTACACAATAAAACCTATAAAATCGGGTATGATATTCCCCGGATGGGAAACCTTCGTTAATTTTGGGTGGAGGAGTAAGCGTATTGTATGCTGCTCACGTACGACCCACACCTCCGAACAATACCGGTAGATAGACCCCGTCCCTACATAGAAACACAAGCCAACAGTACCAGTCTACACCCCGCAGTGAGGAATTAATTCTATACCGGCACTGGGTACCCCCAGAATGCGACTAACGTTACAGCCATGCTGTGTGGTAACCTACGTGTTAAAGGGACATGGACATTTTGGATTGTATACTTCGTTCTGTATCGATTGAAATGTATGGAAACATTTATTCCCAGTATAATAGAACAAGCTTGTCATGAATTAATGGACGACCGTCTGATTTGAAAATTGTCACAGTATATTGGTTCCTTTAAGTCAAATGGATGCTACGAGATGCATCTCTGACAATGTTTATATAGAAGCCAATAATATTTCTTGTGGACCCATACCTATAAGTAAACTAAATCGATATTTAATCATCATGACAAATCAATATTCATAAATTATAGTTTCAATTTATATGTCCAAACAGTTACTGGTTCCAATTAAGTTTCAACATATAAAATTATGAAATCAAATGTGAAGGACTTACACCATATTTATCATTAGTAATGTGCGACTTTAACGGTATGTGTATGTTACTTTGTTTATTAAATAGGCCTGGAAAGGCAGTTGCCTTAAATATTCGTTAACAAAGAAGTAATAAAAACAATCCTGAATTAATTTCAAATAAACTTGATATATGAGATAGCCGATGTCGATTAGTTTGAAATATTTTATTTCTTGATACAACATTCTTGCGGAAGTAAATGAGTATGTTCTTCACCTGGTCGACAAACTCTTCTCTAAGAAAAAATATCGCCAGGTCGAATGTGTGTGCATTTTAATCGTCGATTTATTAACATATTAAAATAAACTTGTAATTATATAATTTCGTTAATAATCTTTATTCACATATTACAGACATATCTTCTTGTGTGGTTCTTAATTCATATTTTTAATTATTATCTCTATTTTTCATTATTTTTTTTTCTTTGACAAAGTGTCTATATTTTGCATCTTCAATATCTGTATAAACGTATTTTGTTACATTTTTATTGTACTATTTAGATGGCGCAAAACAAACGTTAAACCATCCATTATTAAAATGATAATTCATCATGCTATTTAAGACGAGTGTTGAAATTTGTATATAAAATGTAAACTTATACACCATGTCATCCGTAACAGTGCGATACAGGCATAGCAAATCTCTATGGTAGTATTTCTGGCATGTATTTTGTGGTAATTTAGAAAAAGTAAAGCTACTCATATGATAAAATAAATTCTATACAAGGATTAAATCAGATGCCTTATGGTTTATACATGATGAAAATAATATTGGATGATACGATAAAAAATATACTTTTTGAGTTGTAAAATATACAGAATAATCAAAACGATTAAAAAACCACACAAATTCTGTAAGAACGATTCCTGTATGTTATTGATATCTGTCTATTGCAGTCCTATACCAATGTATGGACACAGATTCGCAGCCGATGTTACTGGTACAGGAAATCCACCTCCAGCAGCTCATTTCTTACCATACTTCCGGCCAGCACCGTTTGAAGGTCTCTACAGTGCACCCGGTTCAATAACGGCGTATAATATTGCCATACAGGAGCACCTCAGGCGGCTACAGTGCCGCCATCTTGGAAAAGTGATGGACACCCACCATACAATCAACAATAATGCTATATGTACTAGTAATACGGTCGTAAACATTCCAAAACCTGATTTGGACACAACACAAATTAATCACAGCGTTCCTCCATTACCATCAAAGCTGGACATAAAGGAGAAAACACGAACGACACTGAATCCATACGAAAATTTCCCATCATATTCTCTTGGGCGAAAGTTGTTTCCATGTCCAAACTGTAGGTACACAACAGATAGGAGAAACAATCTTAAAAGACATATGCTAACGATGCACCAAACAACCTCAAAATTGCTAGAATGTTGTGGTATCCTTTTCAGAACAAAAGCGTCATTGAGGGAACATGCAATGATATTCCATTACCATGGCTACACGTGTTACTATTGCGGGAGGCGATTTTGTCGGAAAGCGCTACTGAAGCGCCATCTTTCGGTTCATAACGGACAAAAAGATTTTGTATGTAATGTTTGTGATTATGCTACAAGCCACAAAAGTAACTTAGAACGTCACAAAAAAGTGCACCAGCGTCCGGAGGACTGTAAAGACACCGACGGATCAAGAAGTGACCTTGAACATGATGGCTCTAAAAGTGACATCGACCTTGAGGGAAGTGATCATGCAGAAAGCATGGAGGACTTATCGGTGTGTTCAGACAGTGAAGATGAAGAAATAAACGTTCACAGTGATTAGATTTCACAAAAATGAAAATATGTTGACATGAAAATTAGCAAGACAGATCGTTACTTATGACCTTATGATCGCGCTTGTTTATAGTGCTAGGGATTGTGCGATTTTTCTACTGAGAATATCTCATATCGAATAAGTCATACCTGGCATAACATCATTTGTGTAAACTGGAATATGACATTTAGTAGCTTCGAATGTATACTTTAAGTGCAGTATCTGGTTTTTATACGATCTATGTAATGCAATTTCATTTCATGTGAGCGAAAAACCTTGTCCACTTTTGCGATGAGTATTTGCTATTAATATTGCATTCGAAATCATATTATTGAGCTGTTCAACAGTATTTATAAATTCATGTCTACTAATTACATCTCTGATGTTTCTTATGCGTTCTGTGTTACATTGTAATTCTAGTATGTACCGATGTTTAACTTTGTTGAAAATAAAAATCTTTAAATTCTAATTTATATTTATTTGTATTTTGTTACATTCTATGACTACAGTATTGTTTAATATCTTGTTTTGTAAATGATTGGTGATTTATACAATGTGTTTACTTTAACATGAGGATAAGCATTTTGTGACAAATGAAATTAAGCAGATAAATTTAACAAAAGAAAAATGCAAATGTGTAAATACATTTGTGATTCATTACAAAGTAAATTAGATTAAAAAAAAATGAAAATATAAGTTCTTTCTGAAATCGCTATAGAAAAGATATGTTTTCAGTTAGATGCTGTTTAATTGAATTAAATTTTAATTAAAACGGGATTATTTGGGTGTGTGGCTTACCAAAAAACAATTTGATATACACAATTAGGTATTTTAAAACGATAAATTTGATACTCTGATAACATAGTGTCAAAATATTGATATTCATGTATTTATTGGTAAATGGATGCAAATCAATAATTCGGTAACATAAAATAACACACGAAAATGACAAATTATGTGACAAAGCGCTATAGCAACTGATACACAAAATAAATGTAGGTGAATATTCGATGGAAGTAGTTCAGACGTATAATATTTTGATAACAAATAAAATATGTGTGACTTTGAACGGAGATTCTAGACTGACTCTATGTCTGATGGAGTTTCAGAATTGGACAACATATGCATTTATCAAAATATGAAGGGATTATGATATATTTTTACAACATTTAACTAGCATGACATATTACCAAAGCTTGCTTTAGGTGCCTAGTCAAATAAAGGAAAATTAATTGAACTAAATCTAATATACAGTAAGTCAAATTACATTTCTTTAATTTTTTCTGTGTTCACATAAGTTGGTAGATCAGTAAATTCCTTATTTCGTCCAGATATTATCCTTCTTAGCCGACATTCCATTTCTCCATGTAGGTTAAAGATGATTTATCTTCCTATTAGCGATGTAAAAAAGTAGACCTCTGCTGAAGCTGTAGTATGCTTCGCCGTCATAGGTTGACATAAAGGGGTCGACCTAAGGTTATTAGCTGATGTGTTTTGACAGTGATTTTTGACATTGTGGTGTATTTTAATCGTACTTGACGACTGTTGTATATTATGTCCTTAAGTAAATATGGTATATCTTCTTCTTGGATTTTTATATTATGATTTGTTTCTTTGATATGGTTTGTTTGTGTTTTGTTTTTTACTTTTCGCATTGATTTATTGTGTCTGGGCGTGTTGGAATTTTGCCTTTGTGTGTTGGTGGTGTGATGTTGTCTCCGTGTATGCTGACGTTGTAATACTTTTCGGTGCAACTATCACAGTGATGATTATACACTGACAGATGTATAATGCCATGATCTTTATAATCGAACTTGTTCACAAACCCTCAAACAGACAATCAAACTTGTTCACAAACCCTCAAAAGACAAGCAAACTTGTTCACAAACCCTCAAAAGACAAGCAAACTTGTTCACAAATCCTTAAAAGACATTCAAACTTGTTCACAAACCCTCAAAAGACAACCCAATAAATTAATGGAATAAGCAAACGTTAACAAATGTTTTGTTGAAAGATTTGAAAGAATAACTTGTTTTAGAATTGGACAAACAATTATGTTTTTAAACACTAAGCTGATGAATTAGGGGTTGTTGTAAAGTTAACACATGTGACCACACAACACTACCACTTCATTGGTCTTTAAAATGTGACAAACAGCATTGTTTTTACATTATCGATGATAAAATTTTCTTTTGAGGACTTGAAATAAGCTGTACAACATGAGGAATTTGATTTTGTAAGTCAACTGTCGTTTTCATAGTAGTAACTTCCCAGCTCCAAAAATGAAAATTTTCTTGATTCCTCATTTTCAATATTTTTCCTGTATGATTTTCCCCAATATCCAACAGTTTCTGGGTGTTGGATTGTATTCGTGATAAACTGGGATACGTCAGACAGTGTACTAAATGCGGTGGAACATATGAAGTTTATTGCTGACGACTTTGTAGAGGGAGTTTAAAGATGTCTGGAGATTTTCTAGTTGTTTGGTTCCAGGTATCATTTTTTTAGTCTTAAATGTTGGTTTTTGTTATAGATGTAGTAGAAGATATTGAACAGTTCAGTGCTATAGTAGAAATGTCTCAGTGATCTCGGCCATGCAACAAACACAACTTAATGTTAAGCAACTCTTCATAAAAGTTAGGTACTGTATAGTGAAATAATGCACCGTATGTTATGGCTGTGAACGAAATGCGTTCATTTTGATTCTCAACTCAATTTCACAAGTCATTGTCTATACACGCCACATATATACCAGGTTAGATTGATAAGGGGTTTTGCTTTGATGTCGATCGATTTGAAAAAAATTTGAAAAAAAGAAAGATTTTTTTTAATAATAAGATTTGATAATAAGAATTATAAATATTTGCTGTAAAAACGACTCATAGAAAATAAAACTCAGGCAAAATAAGAGATTGGTGCAATGATGTTGTAAGTTATCACCTTTGTTAGTTTGTTATTTTTGTAAGTATGACATGACGTCGTTGCGTAGTATGTTTATATAGGAACAACTGTAATTAGGAGGCTGTATATATATATATATCCTACCCTCTCTCTCTCTCTCTCTCTCTCTCTCTCTCTCTCTCTCTCTCTCTCTGTAAAATTGGTTGATAGTCAATAAAAAGTTCAACTAGAAACTTCATCATTATGTCACCACATCTGGATAGTACATTGTCATTTATTAAAAGATAATGTAAGAATGATTTGTAACGGTATTATCGCATAAAAGTGCCACATTATCTGCGTATTGATAGATCCGTGTTATAAGAAGAATTGATCAAATGTTTTGTCATTTTCAATCAACTACATCACCATTTTTTTTTGTGTGTTCATTGACCCGTTGAAGACTACTTTTGATTTATTTTCACATTGTCCACGAGCCTAACGGCTGATAAAACAAGCGATCATTTATCGGGTGTAAATGTTCTGTATTTATTTCCTTCACACTACCAAATTAGATTTGATATATGCCAAATCACGGTAATATCCTCTCAGGTAAGCTCACTCCTTCAAATTTAATTGAAACGATGGCCGCCTCGCCTTGCTCGGAGTGTCCTAATTAGCATATAATAGGGGTGCGCATCCGGTATGCCCATGGGAGTCTGCGCGTGCCCGATAGACAGGAGATAGGTGAAGATGGAACCAATGATACGTTCTCAGTGATTGGCCATTCCACACCATTACCTGTCCATTACATGGAACGGCGACATGACCATGCTCCCTTACCTGTCTGTAAATGCATGTAATTGCATTATTATTGTAATAAGTTTTCCTCTGATAACGGTTTAATTAGAAATAAATACACTTAAAAGGTGTTCTAATGATGTGGAAAGTGAGGTAAATTGATGTTGATGGGATGTGCGTCTGCCAGTGTAGGTAAGCGCCCGTGGGAGCTATTATTGATATCTAATCAGAAGGCTTCATATAGGATACAAACCTTTAGAAGAATCAAACAATTTGATGAGCGGCACGTGACCTAATTGAAATTCAATTAAAGGTATAAATTTTCAAAGGTTTTTGGCAGTTATGTATTTTTAGGATGATATGCAAAATCGTTTACAGTATAGTCAATCAATATTATCTCTATAGTCTTTCTGATTTTTTTATATGGCTGTCTTAAAAGAAATTGTGACTCAATAATATTATTTAGGAATATTCTACGAGGCAGTGGGTGTTGACATGTTGAAAACCATTTAATAAATGTTTAATTGATTATATGAACACTAATATTCAAATTGAGACTGTTTTTATTGTTGTTCCTATTGTATCATCCACACGTGTTTTCTAATCTTGCTGGAGCTTTAAATGGTTAAAATACTAGTTATCGAAACTAAGATCATTAAAAAGAGTGACGTAGATAGGCAGAAGTTTTGTTCCCCTGAATATACACATTTAGTTATTGTCGTTGATTATTTACATAAGTTTAGCTCTCGTTCTTCTAAATATACACATTTGGTAACTGTTGTTAAGTATTCTGAAGACAAAAGTGCTGAAATTTATTTCATGTGTTGTAGTCTCACGTTTGTAAGGATATACTTCAAAAAACAATGGCAGTTCTATTGTATGTATTTGTTGCTCTAGGAATGAAATTACTTTTCGTTGTCTGTTATAAATTACTGATTCCGTGGTTACATGGGAAAATATACTTGTAAGATATACAAATGTTACTTCTGGTCACCGTCTGACACATTCTACCCAGATGGGTCCTGAACCATTTGTCATGAGTGTCGGTTCGAGGTTGACACTGGCGAGGTAGGAAATCTCCATGTCGGCGCCTACCCGGGGTGAGGGACCATTGTCCAGTCCCAGAGCCAACAGTAGCTGTGATGACGTGAGTTAGACATTACTACAGACGGTTCGATTACTGTCATCGGAGGCTCTAGTAAGGGAGGGCAAATGTACTCTTCCTTGGCAAGATTCTTTGTTTCAATTCAATCTGACATGTTTTCTTTCTAAGCGGTAAATTTAATCAATACCACCTAGGACAGTGTAAGTTAGAAATAAAAATTGATAAGTAATTTCAAAGCAAATGCATTAAAACAGATTTATAATTATTCTATGGAAACT